TTAGTTTTTTTTTTTTTTTTTTTCCGATCTTGTCGGTCATCGCGAGACTTGCAAGATGCGGCCCAAACTCCTTGTACATTTTCTCATAGTATATATTCTGTTTTATATATGACATATTACATACTTTTTGCTTCATAATATCGTCTCTTGTCTATACTGTCTATACTATATGACACTAAGATGATGTTCTACGGTAGGTCATTGCAATCGTACCGTGGTCGTTGAACCTGTGGCATCTTTCGCCTTGCTGGCGCAGCTGAGCAGGTGCGGGTCATTCTCGGCCTGCCTGGCACTGCTCTGGCAGGAGGGTCGAGCCCTTATTTTCTCTGATTCGTCCGGACGAGAGTTCGGATTGGGGTTTAGGGTTTAGGGTGCCTTCACTGCAAGTGCCCATATCCTTGCGTTGACAGGTCTGGCGACAGGGGTATGTCGGTACCGGCGGACAGCTCAGTAGAGTGCCTGAGCGTGGAGGTGCGAAGCCTTTCTCGAGTCATCGGTAGCACCCAGAGCCTCCAAAAACCCTTAATTAAGGAACATACCTTAAATCATATTAGTGATCCGATTAGAATTCAAGGTATATTCCTTAATTAAGGGATATACCTTAAATCATATTAGGGATCCTAATCATAATTTAAGGTATATTCCTTAATTAAGGGATATTGGAGTCTCTGCGCACAGAGATGGCACTGTTTTTCAGCAGCCCGAAACCCTAAACCCTAAACCCTAAACCCTAAACCCTAAACCCTAAACCCCTAAACCCACAGAGATGGCAATGATTTTCTGTAGCCATCGTCTTCCTGGGCGATCGAGTCGATCAGGCACCACCTGCTGGACCAACTGCCCGGCCCCTGGTTTAACGGGAATTCGCAGAGAACCCAACACTCTTTAATTAAGGAATATACCTTAAATCATAATATTAAGGCCCCTATAATTTCAGGCATATTCCTTAATTAAGGAATCTACCTTAAATCATAGTATTAAGGCCCCTATAATTTAAGGCCCTCTCTGCCGGTTTTCACATTTCCGCAGCCTCAGACCCGAAACTCTGAACTTGAACGCCTGCGCCTGCCATGAAACCCTCAAACCCTAAACCCTCAAACCCTCAAAAAACCCTCAAACCCTCAAAAAACCCTCAAACCCTCAAGCCCTAAACCCCAAGCCCTAAACCCTAAACCCTAAACCTCAAACTTTCAAACCCTCAAACCCTCAACTTGAATGCCTGCGCATTGAAGGTCATGCCTGGCAGTGCGCAGCCGATGACCTTTGGCACCTCCCAGAGAAGGATGTCGGGACCTCCGGGTTTAGGGCTCCTAGAGACTCCAATATCCCTTAATCAAGGAATATACCTTAAATTACAATAGGATCCATACTATGATTTGAGGTATATTCCTTAATTAAGGGGTTTTGGAGTCTCTAGGCTTAGGATAAGAGGGCTTAGGGCTCAGGGACAATAAGGTTTAGGGTTTATGGGTTTAGGGTTCAGGGTTTAGGGCTTAGGGTTTAGGGCTTAGGGTTTCGGGTTTATGGGTTTAGGGTTTAGGGTGTTGGGCTTCCGTTTTAGGGTTTATGGGTTTAGGGTTTAGGGCTGGCCCGGCAGGAGGTCAGCTTTTGGTTCCTATAGCCTTTATCAGGAACCCTCAAAGGAACCGACCCAACAAGGGACCATAATTTTGACAACCACCCATATTGGGATCCTGTTATGATTCAAAGTATAATCCTTTGATTCCCCTATACCTTTACCTCCCTTATAGATCCCTTCAAGGAAGCCTCGAAGGGAGCCTCGATGGAGCCTTTAACCTGCAAGCCCTAAACCCTAAATACCCCCAAGCCCCAAAAACCCCAAACCCCTAAGGGTTTAGGGTTTAGGGTTTAGGGTTTAGGGTTTAGGGACCCCAAACCCCCAAACCCCCCAAAATCCCTAAACCCCCAAACCCCCAACCCCTAAACCCCCAAGAACCCCTAAACCCCTCAACCCCTCAACCCCTAACCCTAAACCCCTAAATCCTTTTTCCACAAAATCCCTAAACCCCTAAACCCCTCAAGCCCCCCAAACCCCTAAACACCCAAAAATCCCGAAACCCCAAAAACCCCTAACCCCCTAAACCCCAAAATTCCTAAACCCCCAAACCCCCCAAAATTCCTAAACCCCCAAACCCCCAAAAATCCCTTATCCCCCAAAATCCTTAAACCCCCCAAACTTCAGAAATCGCTAAACCCCTAATCCCTCCACCCCCCGCGGCTTCGAGGCCCGAGCTGACGTTGAAGGGATTCCTGCGCCCCGGTGCCTTCGACGTCGCGGCCTCAGACGCCCCAGGGGAGCCGTGGGAACGAAGGCACTCCTTAGGGTTTCTAGAAGGGTTTTTTAAAAGGAAGGATTTATGATGTTTTTATAAGGGTTTTATAAGGGTTTTCCCAGGGTTTTGTAGGGTTTTATAGGGGTTGAGGAGGGTTAAGGATTTTAATCTACGCGCTTGAGCCTAAAACCTTAAGGAATGCCCGGTAGGGTTGTTTAGCAGGATCTTTATGGGGCTTGTTAGGCTTTCTACACGGGTTTCAGAATCTCAAGCGCCTTCTTCATAGGGACCCTTTGGGGGTTGGGGGGAGGCGGGTAGGCCTCCCCCCTACCCCCCTGCTAAGGGTCCCTATGATTAAGGCTCCATCTCTTTCTATCGGTTTCGGGGCTCTCTGGGACTCAGCAAAGTTCCCGAGTCAGCTCTTGGTGGGCTGTTTGGGAGGGAGACTTTCGTTCTGGCGTTATTTGGGTTTAGGGTTTATAGGGCTTTAGAGTTTAGGGGTTCTGGTGTTATCATTCCGAAGTAAGAGTGAAGGCGACTTTCGTAAGACATCGCGTTTGTGCAGCCAGGACGAGATGCCGCAGACGAAGAAAGACGCCGATTCCGTGCAAAAAATGCTGGAGCGGCTACAGGCCGGGACCATGTCCGAAAGTCTTGAACACGATGGCGCTCACAGGGGGTATCAGACGAGCCTGAGGCGTATGGCTAGGTATCGATTCCCCTTATTGTTGAAATATTTTTGAAATCCTAGACCCTTAGCCCTAAACCCTAAACCCTAAACCCTAAACCCTAAACCCTAACCCTAGTATGGCTTTGGTTCATTCCTTGTGACTGCTCAGGGCAACGTCAGCGAGACCAAGCAGTCGGTCCAGCTGCAGGCCGCTTCTTCTTCTCATCCCAAGCGCCGTACGATGTGATTAGAGGGTTTAGGGTGTCGGGTTTAGGGTATTAGTATTACTCGTAGTATTGGTAATAGTATTAGTATTAGTATTCGTACTGGTATTCGTATTAGTATTACTATTCTTCCCGAATGAATGGCGTTTTTCTCCTGCGCCGTAGGAGGTGAGGGGATCTGCGTGGGGTCAGTTGATGTGCTACCGACGGTGCAGGCGCAGATGCCGCGCTCCGGTGGACCGCCGAAGGCCGGGAAGAAGTGCATTTGATGTCGACCACGGCCGGGGCGGCAAGTTCTTCTTCTGTCTGGTGCTTAGTAGGGAATGGGGGAATGGGTTATAGGGACTACTATGAGGGGCCTTAAGGGACTATCATAGGGATCCGTTCCTACATTCCCTACTGAGCACCAGACAGTCTTCTTGAGCAAGTTGCTTGTCTGTGCAGGCCGTGTTCCCCGGAGCAGGGCCCGAGGCAATGGACAGCCGTTTTCACAACCCCAAGCTCTGACTTTGCTCGAACCCTAAACCCTAAACCCTAAACCCTAAACCCTAACCCCTAATGTTGCTATGCAGGTTGGAGGAGATGACATGAGGACCCAAGCTGACTTTCAGTTCGAGGCGGGCACTCGCAAGCTGATTCCGTCTTGTGGACGGCGCAGATGTTTGGTCTTTTATGTCGTTTTGGATAGGGTTTAGGGTTTAGGGTTTAGGGTTTAGGGTTTAGGGTTTCGGGTTTAGGGTTTAGGGCTTAGGGTTTAGGGTTTAGGGTCTAGGGTTTAGTTCTCTAAGCCGCCGTGGAAGACGGGGGCACATCTCAAAACGAAGCGAAAATCACTGGCCGAAGAACTCGGCGGTCGCCTGTCAAGATGCACAGGTGCCCGAGAAATGTCAACATTCCACATTTATAGATGTATAATGTATAATATGTATATATATATATATATACATAGATAAACATTCGTATTACTACTATTATTGTTGCTAATATATATCTATCTATATATATATATATATATACAAACACATGTAATCAGTATCATAATGGCCAGCAAATGCAGTGCTGTTACTCGTCTGCACAAGCTCGAAGATTCGAGCCGACTTCGGCAGTCCGCAGGCTCGAGCATGCCACCTCGCCCGGCCGTGATCGGTACTCTGTGTTTGATCTAGGGGTTTTAGGGTTTAGGGTCTAGGGTCTAGGGTTTAGGGTTTAGGGTTTAGGGTTTAGAGTCTAGGGTTTAGAGTTTAGGGTTTAGGGTCCAGGGTTTGGGGTTTACGGTTTGTGTCCCTGGTCGCTAAAGACTCCAAAATCCCTTTATTAAGGAATATGTTTAAGCTTAGAATAAGATCCCGAATATGATTTAAAGTATATATATATATATAGATATTCCTTAATTAAGGAATATGTTTGAAAGTAGAATAAGATGCCTAATCGGATTTAAAGTATATATATATATATACACATATGTTCCTTAAATAAGGGGTTTTCGAGTCTCTGGGTTGGTTTTGCTCCCAGAGCGCAATGCGACTTGCAGTTGGCGAGAGTCGTGCCCACCGCAAGCAGCTGCGCCGGTATGGCGCCAATTATTTTTAAGTTTAGGGTTTAGGGTTTAGGGCCAATTCTTTTTAAGTTTGAATCGAGCCATTGTTGAAAGATCGGCCACGCAGCAATGCTCACCGTGTCATGCTCAGCATGTCCCAACTATATGCACTTTGGTGTGTCCTTTGCTTGGAAGTTCACGACAACGGGCCTCAAATGCCGAAAGCTGCGCACTTGAGGAAACCTGGAGACGTCGACCCTTTGACATGCGGGCTTGTAGCTTCCGTCGCGCTGGACCCTTCTGTAGCCCCAAGCCTCCTCACTGAAAGTAAACCCTAAACCCTTAACCCCTAAACCCTCAACCCGAAACCCCTAAACCCTAAACCCTAAACCCTAAACCCTAAACCCTAAACCCTAAACCCTAAACCCGAAACCCCTAAAACCCTAAATCATAAACCCCTAAGGTCCGAAATCATAAACCGTACACTCTGAACCCTGAACCGTCACTTGGGTAGTTCTCTAAATTAGGATCCCTTTTTAGGTCACCAAAATCGTGCGGCACCCTTGTAAAAGGACCCCGAAAAGGGACCCCAATTTAGAGAACAACCCTTATAGTACCCTTATAGAAACCCTTATAGAAACCTTATAGAAACCCTTATAGATCCCTTTAAGGAGCCCAGAAAGGGACCATAACTACCCCTAAACCCTAAACCCTGAACCCTAAACCCTAAACCCTAAACCCTAAACCCTAAACCCTAAACCCTAAACCCTAAACCCTAAACCCCCAAACCGCCACTTAGCGCCTCTCGTTTTTCAGGCGCTCCTGTCGAGGGCGCAGGGGGCCGGCAGTCCGGAGGCCTTGGACCAAGTCGCCCGCGAGGTGCTCATCAGGTCCGGGTGCCCAAAAAGGGAGGGTTTAGGGTTTAGGGT